GCTCGTACAGAAGTCGGATGAAGTCCGTAGACAAACTGCTGTTGTTGGCTACATGGTGGGGTCCATGACAGTCAGTCTTCAACTCATCCAGGCTGGTTGTGAAACGGGCCCTATGGCAACCGAGCCGAAAAGAAGAGTTGAAGTCGGACTGAAGGCAGCTGATGTGTTCGAGCTTGCCTGGTCCTCTTCCGTTCCAAACTCCCATACATAGCGACGAGGTCCGGATTTGACATGTAAGGCCTGGAACTCTTGAACAGCCGCCGCCTCCACCAAGCTGAAGTGCATTTTCCCGTCGCACAGATGGACCACCTCATGGACAGGAGTCGTGAAGAGAGCCTTAGCCGACTACACCCACTTTGACAGGGGGTGGTTCACTTAGTTGCGTGCACTCAGGATCTCCGTCTTGGCAGTCCTGCGCAATGCCAGGTGACGAAAGGAGCTAGGATCGTTTGATTGAAAAACGCAGCTCGAGTCCTACCATTTGCATCTGCCCAGGTGTGCCAGGAACCATCCGGCCCTCTCTCACCCGAAAGGCGTGCCTCCAGGGCAATCTGGCAGTCTGACGAAGATACCCGCAGATGTTACGGTCGCGTTTCAGACTATTTGGGTTCCCTCTTCAAGGGTCCTTATATGGGTAGTTCTCTGAATAAGGATCCCGCTTGGGGTCCCCAAATATAGTACGGCACCCTTATAAAAAGGACCCTCAAAGGGACTCTAATTAGAGAACTACCCATATTGAGAATCTGCAGAATGCGACCATTTCGAGCCTCACTCTCGCACGAGGCAGGCAAGGCGGTCGACGTCTCAACACGTACTACCGTGATACCGAAGGCTCTCCGGATACCAACTGGCATCAGAAGTACGGCACACTGACAGGGAAGAACAAGAACAATTCAATGAAGAGAACCTGGTGCATATTGACCAACTGATGTGTGGAGGAAGGCCTTCAAAACGAAGTGACAACTCAGAAGGACCGGTTCATCTCCAAGTCACATGTACCGGATTTCAGTGAACCAGGCATTACAAATCTCCTGAGCAACTCTCTCCGCGTCCGACATGTCTTTGTCGATGATCCGCACCCGGTCCGTCCGCAGCGCCAATGCATTCAGTGCTCGGCCCTCCTCTTCTCTGGGACGGGGTGGAAACTCATGGCAGAGCTGGATTGGCAGAATGGTGAGCGCATAATTGTGCGCATATTGGAGCTCTACATAGGTTTCATACTGCGCACCAGTTTTTTCCCCGTAATCCGAGGTGCAAAAAGCCAGCAGGGCTTTGGCCCTGTATAAGAACCGCGCCGTTTGGTCTCCGAATGTGGCCCCAGCAAAGTTCGCTTTCACCATATCGACCGGAACAGATCTGTCCCGAAGCAACTCGTAGACCTGTCTCATATAATTCATCTTCTGCTGATCGTTGAACCGTCCAGAGATCATCAAGTTTTTCCGTTGTGAAGATTGAGGTGCGGCTGGTGGTGGGGGGGGTGGTTGCTCATCAGCTGGGGGGGGCGGAGGTGGCGGCACCAGCTGAAGAAGGAGCGCAGCGTCCTCTCCGCTTTCAGCATGAGCTCTCTGCAAGAGTTCCGTAATGGGCAAGCGCAGACGGCCAATTTCCAGCTCACCTGCGCTCAGGAAGGTGTGCGGCACATCGGCCGTGTATACCTCCACATCACTAGCCCAAGGCAAAATAAGGTGCAATCCGGATGCATTCCCATCTTCCTGTTCTTGCAGCGATGGCGGTGGCGGCGGCGGCGGCATCGTTATCCCATATCCCTCCGCTTGTGTTGGTGGTGGTGATGGTGGCGGTGGTGCGGGTAACATCCGGTTCGCCTCACACAGCCGGAAGGCATGGACGGAGTCGGCAATGTCCACCTCGAAGTGTCCGTGCTGAGCTTGAAATGATCGGCTGGTAACGAGCGGAAACCTGTTGAAGTTCAAATCAAGTTCTTGATGATCATGCTGAGCCTGTGCTATCTTGAGTTTGTCCCCGTGGCTATAGAAGCCTGCAAAAAAAGCTGGCTCGCACACATCGAATCCCCTCAAGACCTCGGGGTCTGCGCGGCAATCAGACGTCGGCACCAGCTGCTGGGTACAGGAGGGACAGTTTGTGTGCAGAACCGCGCATTTGCCCCTCCTTGTGGTTGTATCCATGAAGCCCTGGACCAGCATTCCCCTCCTCTCAGAGCTGGCACCATCAGTTCCGACAAACAGCTCGCAGAAATGACGCAGGCGCAGGACCGCATGTCCTGGAAAGAACTCCGCATCCGGAAGCGACTCCCAACTGCCCTCCGATGATGAACGCCATACTGTCCGACCAGAGCCCGTGCAGACAGGGATGATGAGAAGCACGGGCGCGTCTTCGAAGCGGGAATCGTGCGGAAGTAGCTTCAGGATAGGGCTCAAAGGACATACATTCGCCGGCAACCTTGGGCATTCTTGCAGGTCAGCAATCTGAAACCTGGCACGCGAATGCCTCCTTGAGACCATCACTACCCCGTTCCGGACCTGCGCGAAGTCGTATTTGCCCAGTGTGACAAGCAAACCATCCACCTTGTCATGCAGGACTTTCGTCGTTGCCTTTGCCAGACGCGTTTCGCGAAATGCTCGACTCAGCGCCGCCTCGAGCAAGGCTTCGATGCCCCTGTACTTGAGGACCTGCAGCTGATCCGCCAGGACCCTCGCCACCTCAGAGCGCGCGGCCTTTGTGCCAAACGCCGCGTGCAAGAACGCTGCGGCCTCCTCCGCGCTTCCCTCACCTGCAGCCCAAGCTGCGAGGGCCGGATCTCTCACCACACCGCTGTTGTCGTCTAGGTTCAACTCCGGGATCTTCGAATCTGCACGCACAAGCTGGACTACCCAGCAGGAGACAGGAAGCACCAGGGCCTCGACATCGAATAGTGACAGAGGCGGACCATCCTGAATGGCATCTTCCTCGAGACACGGGGCCAGCGATACCGCCATGCGGTTCGTTGCATCCTCAGAGAGACGGACGATGGTGTCACGAACGGCAGGATTGCGAAATCGCTCCAGGACGGCTTCACACCAGTCTTCCTTGCCGAGGCCCTGAACAGGGGGCACCGTGCGCCCAGCAGCCGCTATGTACACTCTCAGGAAGCCGGAAACGCGAGTATCTGCGACTGCCTCGTGCACCAGGGCATACCCCAGCAGCGCTGCTGGATACGCTAGCGCCTGGTGGGCACCTTGGAGCAGCCGAAGCTTCATCAGCTCGTAAGGCGAGATATCTTCAACGAAGAGGCACTGTCCGCTGGTGGACTTGTCCCATGCGGGTCGCCCCATTGGGAATTTATCCTCGACAACCCAAAGCAGGAACTGCTCAGAAACGACCGGCCAGGCATCGTCAAGGCCGTACTTTGACTTGAGCTCAGCTTTGACTTCCTCGGTAGTGGCGGGTGTGATGCAATCGACCATCGAGTTGGGAAACGAAACGTTTTCAGAAATCCAGGTGGCAAGCTCTTTGTCCACCGCTCCTGCCATCTCCAAGACCGCCATGCGTGTCTTCTTGCCGTTTTCTTGCAGGTTGTCACAGCTCAGGACCGCAAATGCACCCGCGCCCGAGCGTCGATGCGCGGCGGCCGCCACAAGGAAACCTGCAGCCGTCTTCAAGTTTGTTTTGCCAGCCTGCAGGGCCTCGATGTCGCTGCTCACGGCTGGCGAAGCCGTGTCCAACTTGCCCGTTGCGAAATTGACAAAGTACCCCTTTTCAGTGACGGTCAGGGTCACAATCTTCGTTTGCGCCGAGCTGAGCCGAACGATGATTTCCTCCGAATCCTCCGTCGCTAGGTAAAACTCCCGGTAGCAACCTATGACACGAACCTGCTCGGTATCGTTAAATCGTTGCCATAGCGTGAACATCATGTCTTGCTCCTTCAGAACATCTCTCATCCGGACATCGCCGGGCATTAGGCCGACCCCAGAGTAGCCCCAAGACTCATGTCCTGGTAGCTCCAGTGCATCGTCTACGAACGCGCACTGGTGCGCTCGATGGAAGTTGCCGACGCCGATGTGGACAATACCCGGCTTAACCTTGCTGCGATCGTACTGCGGCACCCTCACGGCACCTGTTCCACGGATTCTGTCGAGGTTGGAGGAGTGTATCTTCATGGTTGCAGGCCAAGGCTAACTGCGGCTAACTGTTGCTTTTTGAACCGGGATTTGAGGGTTTCGACTCGCACACTCGCTCGAGGCAGGCACGGATGGCAGAGATAAGTCTCTCCACAGAGAGGACAAACCGCAGACGGAGGGAACAAAAGCCATAGATCATGCAGGACCTTATATAACCCTACGTTTGCTAAGCACAACAAAGAGAACATCTCTTCCTTCCATCTCGCAGCTTGCCGGTCACAGTGTACCGGGACACCCATACAAGCTTGAGGGCTTATGAGTTCCGGATTCAGGCGTTCGATGCTCACACTCGGACAAGGGGGGGGGGGGGGGGGGCGGCCTCCAAGCTGCGAGGATGGGGCGCCTTGGTCGCCCAAAAGCTGCAAAGGCGAGCTCAGGGCGCAGCTTTTTTTGGAGCCCTGGCCAAAGTGCCGGTGCAGAGTGCGAGGTAGATCTTCTTGACTTGCCGTGTAGCAAACTGAAGCCTGGCATGAGGCATGGTGACAGTGACAAGGTTGCAGCATTCTACAGCCGATCAGAGCTTCCTTTAATCGCTGTATGATGGCAGGGAATGGCGACGAAGCTTTAGGCTGTCGGGCGCGTGCTTTGTTTGAGAACGCGCAGTGCCCGGCAATGCATTCCCCGACGTTTTACCAGGGAACGCATGTCGGCCACATCTGTGCTGCTCTTGAAGCATGTTGATAGCTGGAGTCTTGAGCAGAAGACTCAAACAGCCGACCTTTGGAGCCTGTCACAGATGAACAGGGTTCATGCCGGTGGTTGTCTTAACCAAGGCAGGGACTGGTAGAGTGGGGTTGGCTCGAGAGCTCACGAGCAGGCAAGGCAGACACCGTCTTTAGTGCACGGCCAGGCATTTCAGAGGCATCAACCCACACACCACAGGAGCAGCCTCCGAAAAAGAAGTCGAGACTCCTCGGTCTGGGCGTACTCGGGATGAGGGGACAAGACCACGGCCCGGCCACTCTGAGGACGTTGCCAGGCCCAAGCTGCTGCATGGCCCTTCATGGAGGGCCAGCCTTCGATCCGGTCGTCGTGGCAGTCGGAGAATACAGCGACCGGAGTGGGTACGCTGGCACAGGGGATAAGGACGTCATCCATTGATTCCATGGCAGATTCTGGCATCCTGCCCGGCTGATAGTTGTTGTACGCTTCCGGCACCCAAGAAACCAAGAGTGGTCCGTTGGCATACCTCAACCGAAGAGAAGACAGATCTTCAAGACCCAGGATTCTCCGACCCTCACCTGTCAGCGAGACTGTGACGTCACCCACGCCCCTCCTCCAATTCGCATTGTCATGGGGTAGAGCTGGAACAACATGGCCCCAAAGCGGGAGATCCCTACAAGACAGCCAGTGTGCACCCGCGCAAATGCCCAGAACTGAGCCTCCTTCGTGCAGGTGCCGCCGGATAGCTCGTCGCCCATCAACCCCCAATCGCTCGGCATGCTCGTTTGCCATGCCACCATGAAGCAAAACTACATCCGTGCGCCGCAAGAAGGATGGCAAGGCCTTTGGCTCAACTATGGGCCGTTGCTCCGCATCGGGAACCAACGGCCCAAAAATCTCTTGCAACTGCTCAGGGCCTTTTCCCAGGTCGACAAGGACGAGCCGGTGGCCTTCGGGTAATGCAAAGCCTCCCTCCTGGTCCAGCTGCCGAATTGCTGGCAGACGCGATGATGCCGGCGACAGCTTGATCAACGCCCCACCATCTCGAAAAGTCCCGGTCAATGCGTCCTCATTGAAGACAGGGGCATCGATGCTTTCCACGCGGCTTCGGCTGTCTCCGAGCTGTGAGCTCTCGATTCCCATCGAGGCCCAACGAACAAGTGCTTCTGTGAGGATACAGCTGGACTTGGACGTGCCAACCTCGACGTTCGGTGAGACGGCCACGAATCTTCCGCCGAATGGTTTGAGTTCCCCTGCGATCACCGCAGGCATTCCGAGCAGCGATGTCTTCGACTGGCACTCGTTCATCTCTGTCTGGTAGGTGAGGAAAGGGACCCCCATCCCGCACTCAAGATCAAAAGGGCCACCCATTGCCTGATATTCTGCTCCCATCATGGGCACAAGAGCCGGACCGTTGAAATATTGAGACTGAATTCCTTCCGCCTCTTGCAATGTTTGCAAGGATGTCAGACAGGCTTGGCCAAAGCTGGAGAGCAGCATCGTGACTTGCCCTGTGCCGCGATTCCAGTTGCGCCTGCCATGAGCAAAAAATGGCAGAAGGCCAAGGCACCCCTTGTTGCAGCCACAGAACGTAGATCCAGATGCGATTGTCAGCAATGCCCCTCCACCTTCAAGGTGTGCGGTCAGCGCATGCTTCTCATCTTCCTGAATGTACTTCGAGTGCTCCGTGCCGCCATGAATCACGAGCACACACCGTCCCACAAGGGAATCCCTGTCGTCACAGAACTCTGCCACCGTCATGAATCGCGCACACGGAAACAGCCTGAAGAAACTTGCTTTGACCTTCGCCATGCCCTTGCCGACGTCCACAATCACGACAGGCACACTCGAAGTGTTGCCTTCTGGCTCGCTGCGCCAACTTGATGGGACGCTGGGCCATGCCACCTTGCTGACGGTGTCGTCTGCCAAGCGCCCAACCACCTGACAGGCTCGGAGGTGCCGCACAGAAGTGATGGGCGAAATGCATATTTCCTTCCTTACCTCTCGCTGCCTTTATGCTCAGGAGCAGCTTAGCGTCGTGTTTTCTAATCCCTGACAACTGAGAGCTCAGCCATGTCCAGTGTCGCAGGTGAGGGAGCTTCTGGTGACGTTGTGTCAGCCTTCTTTTGCCCAGTGCTGGTAATGTCATCCTTCCGCTGCCCTGTACTCGTAGGAGGAGCTTCTGGTGACGTTATGCCAACTTTGCTCTGCCCAGTGCTCGTTCCACAACCCATGGCTCAGCTGAAACCTTATAAGCCCAAACCCAAAGCACAGGAATCTTTTTCCATATACGTAGTATGCACGGACGCGCTTTCGAACAAACCTACATAGGAGCACCCATGTCGGTGCCACAACGACGAAGATAAGCTGCATCCGATGCGTAGAGCAAAGCATGGCCTAGAGACTTAGACTTAGATGTTACACATGACGATCGCTTTGAGAGTCGTGCTCAATCTCGAGCAACAACTCGCGTCCTCGCAGCGGTAGAACCTACCCATGCTCCGCAGCCATCCGACATCCGCCGTCTGCCCTCATTGTATGGATGGTCCCACGAATGTCTCACACAAGCCCACTGTCCCGGCTTGACAGATCTAAAGCTTCGGGATCGAAACACTTCTCTCCCTGTGACAGCCGTCCGCATCGAGCCTGATTCCACGAACAAGCGTGGCAGCTGGGCTGCCCCAGTAAATGCCCTCTGTAGGTCGTGGCACACAGCACGATTCCTGTCGGGCTGGTCGCTGTTTCTACGCAAGTCTTTCTTGCTTCCGGGGATCGTATTTGCCTGCTATCATCGTGCTCTTTATTGTTGCTGCTGCTGTTACTGTCGCTGACCTTGTCTCTGCGGTTGCCTTTGCGGCGGCGGCGGCGGTGGCGGGGGTCGTGGTGGTGGTGGCGATGGGATGGAAGAGTCAGCACTGCCGCTTCCAATCTCAAAGGACTGCAGTGGAGATGAGTAGTAGTAGTCGTGGTGGTGGTCGTGGTTGTGGTAGTGCTAGTAAGTGTAGCAATAGCAGCAGCAGCAGAAGCAGCAGCAACAGGAGGAGGAGGAGGAGGAGTAGTAGTAGTAGTAGTAGTAGGAGTAGCAGGAGCAGCAGCAGCAGCAGGAGGAGGAGGAGGAGGAGGAGTAGTAGTAGTAGTAATGGTAGTAGCAGTAGCAGTAGCAGTAGCAGTAGCAGTAGCAGTAGTAGTAGTAGTAGCAGCAGCAGCAGCAGCAG